TGACAGGATTTCTTTCTGGGGGTGCATCAGTGTCCAATGGAACAATTAATTGGACGAAGTGATTGAAATTATTTATTCATTGTTTAAAAATTCAATTTATCTCGTATTATATTTGAAAGATTGCTTTGTACATTTATGAATAAAATAAGATCCTATTACTATTATTTTTCTCAATTTTCCATATTTTTTGTTTGTATTTTATTTTGAAGAATAGTCAAAATAACTTATTACCTTCTGAATTTTTTTAATGGTCAACAGAAATACATAACAAATTAATATAATTTAATAATTCATATTCCATTTCTGTAACATAAAAGAATAAGACAATCATATACTGTATATATCTGTAACGCTCCTTGTATCCAAGGGCACCGTGAGAAGTTGCACTTGCACTCCAAGACTATTAAAAAAATTCAGAATGTAATAAGTTATTTTGACTATTCTTCGAAATAAAATTCATTCCAAAAACTCTTTCCAGCAGTAATGATCCAGAGAGGTTTCTGCCACAAATGTGGTAACACTTTCTATTCTGGGAATATTAAAAGAAGCTTCGGAGTAAACGGGCAAAATTACTTCTTCAGAGAAATGAATCTGATATCTCTTAGGATATTTAACTCGTTTCCACAGATCCATATAATAGTTGTCTTCCGTTTGAAATTCATATTCTGTCGATTTCATTCGACATGATTGTTGGATATCTTGGACAGAGCCAATGAGAAATTAATAAATTTGCGGGAAGTTGGACTATCAATTCAGAATTAATAAGTTAGTGTGAAGTTCATTTTAAAAACAGTTATCTCAAGCACATGTCATTGTATTTTACAAAAATAATTTCTTGCATATTTTGATACTAAAATTGGAAAATATCAGTGCCATACTATCAAAAATAACAGCATATTGTAATAATTATTCACTTTATATAACTTTAAATATTTAGCCATATAAATTAATTTTTAAGCATGCAAATTATTATAGATGGTAGATTTTTTCCACGTGGATTATACACACAGTTTAGGATCTATTTTACGCATATTTTATTAGTAGACTTATCTAGTTAACAGCAGTGTCATATACAGAAGTACACCATTACTACTAATTGCCCAATAATTTTGTGTAATATTACGCAGTACGTAAAAATCCAGCAACGAGCTACTTAACTTTCCCTACAACAATTAAAAATTTGGTGTCGCCATATGTTATATTTTATTAAATTAAAAATATAAAAAGTCTCTATATTATAAAATGGCAAATAGCTTAATTTTCAAGCTAGGGATGGTTTTTATGAAAAATTGTAAAATCGTCATTAAGTCCGACCCTACTCGAGATACGATACATGACCCCATCTATCTCCTCATCCCGTCGACCTTTACCACTAAAATATATATAAGTTGACCAGATTAGAGTTGTTCTTGGTCTATTGTTCTCTTATAGTATGGAGGCACTTCGATCTAAACGAACGAGTTAAAGTAATTAACTTATGTTTATGAAGTTGTGAGGCGTTGAGCCAAGAGCGCGGGGAAAAGTTTGTGCACATACTCTCTTGCTCCTCGATAGCTTTCACTCATTCATAGATTCATAAAAGCATTATGTATTGTTTATAAAAAATATATAACGAGTTTGTTTTACAAAGTCAAATCTGCCTGATGTAATTTACTGACATTTCAGTAGTGTTTAAGAATTTTGAAGTAAAATTTAAATACAAAATTTGAATCTTAATATTTGGCAAAAGCTATAAATGAAAAATTTTATGCATACATCAATCTTAAGTTTTAATAATAAATTTTATAGTCTACATAAAAATTAATTTATTCGCCAGGGAGAAAAATGGGAAACTAAGTTAGGAGGTAAACTACTCTCACCAGACCATTCATCTTCAACCGAGACTTTTTCTGTCCTTCACTTAGGGTGCATTTAGTTTTTTAATCAAACAGATCGAAGATTACTGTAATCATTTAAATCCTATATACAAACGAACCATAGCGATCTGATCAACCTCTATCTACGTATACAAACGCCATCTAGGAACAACTGAATCGGGATCAAACTAATCTGAACGGAGAGTAGGATCGTTTGGATCGGATAAAAATATTAAAGATGACAACAAGCACGGTTAAAGCTAAGCTTATAGTTGACAGCAAAGAAAATTATGTTTAATTGTCGACAATGAGAAGTACTTAAAACTTAATGATGTTTTTACTTACTATTTATATTAAAATATCCGATAAATCGAGATGAAAAAATAAGTATTTAGAGACAATTTTGTGAAATTGTACAGCAAAAATGCATGGCGTGCACTCTCGCATTTTGCTGTTTTGTGAGTAAATTTATTCACAGTGTAAACACGATTCGATCCTACTTCTATACTTTTCGCCAATTAAAACACCATAGAAGCTATCCGTATCACGTGACAAAGACTGATCCGATCTTACAGATCGATCCATCAGTAACGAAAAATATATGTACCCTTAATTAATTAAATTAATAAATGTTATGTGGATTCACTCACTGAAGACTGGATTTAATGTTTAAATTGTTTTTTTATGGTGGTGGTGAACAATGCAGCCTTTTTGAAGGAACTAGTTCCATTATGATCTTTGTTAGCTTTGCAATCTTACCCCGCTTTCTGCGCAATCTTGTCCTGCAGGGATGGGGTAAGATTACAAATATTCATTGCTTTCGAAAAATCTTTTATATTAATTTCGTTTTGTATAATTTTTGTTCGGTTGGTTTACTTTTGTGAAGAACCTGTGTTGACAATATTTTTGAATATTGTTTTTAATGTAATACTTCATTATAGCAAAAAGTGCGCTCTTGCCCCACTTTCCCTTATATTTATAATCATTTACAATTAGTGTTGTTGAATTTTCTTTGTAAACAGCAAAATTTATTCTATGTGGAAATGAATGTTGGAAGTTGTAAACATGATCCAACAAGAATAATATTAACCGAACTATATATCCTATGATAAAATCGGTTTCGATCAACGTCGCAGTTTTCAAGAACCTAATGGCGACGTTAAGTGAGGACTTGGTGTACTTTCGACAAATCTCCCCTTTAATTATGTGTACAATAATTTATGAATCCTCCGATATTAAAAAGAAGACTTTAAAAAGTTCTGCAAATATTTTCTGATAGTTTATTCATACGACTGGCAACGGCTAGTAGTGTTGTAAGATAAATTCATATGCCACTAAAAAAAAGTCCACGTGGACGATGTCTCCATTCTGTCCTTTCTCCCCATCGCGTACGATGATGTACTTTTCACGACTCCTCGCCCCTTAAATGGTACACGCAATTTATGGACGGCTCTATTGCCACTTTCACACAAAAGTATGTTAACAATAGCAAGAGTCTTCCAAATACTATTGTAGATAGCAAGCACTTATCAATAGCTATATAAAAAGATTTGAGTAATTTTAAAACTTTGTTATAGGAAAGCTTCTACCATTTTCAGTTTATTTTTTACTATGGACTCCGTCCCTGACTACCTTAAGTGGAGCAGTCCAGAAGTAACTATTATATTTTTAAAATTATTTTAAACAATAATCGATGATAAGGCAAAAAGGAAGCATTAATTTAAAGCAATGAAAATAAATTAATAAATATATTTTAAAATAAATAGATGATGCTCAGTGATATTCTATAAGGCATCCAGGTAGAATTTCGACACCTGGAATATTTCATAAAATCTCTTTGGGGATTTTGGATTTACCTGGTAATGTACTCCACATCCTCTTTGGATTGCACAATTTTGTTTTCTGTAAGAAATCTGCTTCTATTGAACATTTCATAGCAACTAGTGTATATGTTACCATGAAAGACTGAAATTAGAGAATGTCGATATTCTCCGGTGAATGTCGACACATACAATATACATCGGTGAAAGACCGAATATTTGGTTAAAGTATTATACATTCGAACAATCGCCGGTGTATGTCGACAAGCACAGACAAGCCTTGGTGGAGGTCGAAACGACACCCGAGAAGCCGATGTTGACAGAAAGGCGACAATCTGTCGCCAATTTCTTCGCCGTTTCCTTCTGCTCAAATTGGTGATACCGTACGAATACAAGTCCCTGATATCGACCGTGGCCGTACGGATGCCCGAAATGTGTTGGTGGTTGTTGGAATAGAAGGCTCCGAATTTTATAAATTAGCAAACAAAAATGGTACCATCAAGCAGCTTTATACCCGTAATCAGTTCGTAATTTGTAAAGAAAAGTTACTTTCCAGAGATGAGGTTTCTTCTCAAGAAATATCGCTGAGAGAAGTCGCTAATTCAAAAAGTGGAGGGCAAGGCTACACACGCTGTCATTACAAAAGGATGTGTTCCACGAATAAATGCAGTTGTAAAACAAGGAACTCTTGTGCAATTCAAAGTGCCATAACAGTTTAAGCTGTTGCAATAAATAAGATTGTATGGTTAATGTTAATCACATAATTTATGTGTAAGTTTATTATTGTATTATTTTTTTTAATTATTATAATGATTTAGAATGTACTGTTTGTTTTACTTACATGTGCTGTTACTTAAGCTTTCTCCTATTTTGACATATTAAAAAGTTGCATTTTTGTCTTAACGTAATAAAAATATTTTTATTCAACATTCACCATCAGTGCATACTGAATGTCAACATTTGCCGGTGTAAGTGAGAAATAATGATATTTAGCAAATATTTCGTACATACATGAAACGACTGTGTGAATGCTGACATTCACTGGAGAATCTCAACATTCGCCAGATATCGGTCATTCACAGTAACATATATTAATATATAATATGATTTATGAGAAATATGCAAGATAATATTCAGTTTATATGAAAGATAAAAGGTTTATTTCATTATTAAATGTTTGAAAATTTCAAGAATATATATATATTAGCTATACATAAAAACAAATTACTATTATTCTATGCTTTTAAACATCAAATTGATGATAAAAAAACTTGATACTAACAGATTTTCAAAAATTAATCAGATTATTTTTCTATTGAATTAGGTAACCAATTCAATGTGCTTCCTACTGTATCATCTTGCAAAGAATCAAGATGTTCAAGCAAAATTGCATGAAGAATTACAGAGAATTATACCAGATGGAGAGGTAACAACTGAACACTTAGCAAGTTTACAATATTTGAAAGCCTGCGTCAAAGAAACTTTCAGGTTAATAATTAGTTTATGCTGTAATTCAAAATAAAATAAGAAGTTCCATATTTAATATTGTTTCCTTAGATTGACACCTACAGTTCCTTGCCTTACAAGAATTCTTCCAGAAGATGTAATATTATCTGGCTATTTAATTCCAGCTGGGGTAACTAAACTTATTAAACTGAATTTTAAGAATGACTAGAATAATAAACTATATATTTACATTTTTCTTGTAGACACCATTATTCTGTCATTTTAAAGTTTCTTGTGAACTTAGTGAAAATTTTCCTTCTCCCAAATCATTTTGGCCTGAACGATGGTTAAACAACAGAAATTCTATACATCCGTTCTGTATGCTGCCTTTTGGATTTGGTAATAGGATGTGTGTTGGCAGGAGATTCACTGAAATGGAATTATATATTACTGTTGCAAAGGTATGATTATTGCATAAAGTATTACAGTAATAACGGTTATGAAATTTGTAAAGAAAAATGGTTTAATTTTTACTTGCAGATAATTCAAAATTTTCATCTAGAAACTATCCATGAGAAATTAGGCATAATCCAGGCTTTCATTACTGTTCCCTCTCATCCAGTAGCAATAAAATTTCATGACAGATGATTTATTTTTTAATATTTAATTTTAGCAAAATTATATATATATATGATGTACAGNGAAAGACCGAATATTTGGTTAAAGTATTATACATTCGAACAATCGCCGGTGTATGTCGACAAGCACAGACAAGCCTTGGTGGAGGTCGAAACGACACCCGAGAAGCCGATGTTGACAGAAAGGCGACAATCTGTCGCCAATTTCTTCGCCGTTTCCTTCTGCTCAAATTGGTGATACTGTACGAATACAAGTCCCTGATATCGACCGTGGCCGTACGGATGCCCGAAATGTGTTGGTGGTTGTTGGAATAGAAGGCTCCAAATTTTATAAATTAGCAAACAAAAATGGTACCATCAAGCAGCTTTATACCCGTAATCAGTTCGTAATTTGTAAAGAAAAGTTACTTTCCATAGATGAGGTTTCTTCTCAAGAAATATCGCTGAGAGAAGTCGCTAATTCAAAAAGTGGAGGGCAAGGCTACACACGCTGTCATTACAAAAGGATGTGTTCCACGAATAAATGCAGTTGTAAAACAAGGAACTCTTGTGCAATTCAAAGTGCCATAACAGTTTAAGCTGTTGCAATAAATAAGATTGTATGGTTAATGTTAATCACATAATTTATGTGTAAGTTTATTATTGTATTATTTTTTTTAATTATTATAATGATTTAGAATGTACTGTTTGTTTTACTTACATGTGCTGTTACTTAAGCTTTCTCCTATTTTGACATATTAAAAAGTTGCATTTTTGTCTTAACGTAATAAAAATATTTTTATTCAACATTCAATTATATTCATTTAATTACTGCTACAATGATATAGCGCGAAATAAACACGCTATATCATTACTGCAACTGGTATCACATAGCACTTACCTGCGTGGATTCGAAAGTATTATTCTTTGAAAAGTCTATAATAAGTAGGGGAAAGTGAGGCAGGATGAGGACGTTAAGATTTGAAAAGTCATAAGATGGCAATGAACTTTAATGAGAACAATAATTTTTTTATTCTCAGCAACTACAACATTTGGATATATATAATACAAAATTTAATTTTTGAAAAACGTTTTTAAAAACAAGAAAATTTAATGTTTTAAAATTATATGTAAATGCACCATCTTGCCCCACCCGTGGGGTAAGACGAGAATATTATTTTTATATACAAGAAAAACAAATTAAAATGGTTAAACTGTCGTTTTCTTCGATATTGGCACAAGAACAATGCGCCCATTTATCACAGCGGCTACATTTATTATTATTTTCCGAATAAATAAATATAAAAGTTTGAACTTACTCGTATTTACTTTACCAGTGATGTGTCTTAAGCATGATATGCTTTCGACACATCACCATTGAAATACTTATTTATTATTATTAATTTTTTTATTTAAACTATGTGCATTCTACAAGAGTCTAGCTCCCTGGNATATTTTAAAATTAAATGTAAATGCACCATCTTGCCCCACCCGTGGGGTAAGATGGAGATATTATTTTTATATACAAGAAAAACGAATTAAAATGGTTAAACTACCGTTTTCTTCAATATTGGTACAAGAACAATGCGCCCATTTATCACAGCGGCTACATTTATTATTATTTTCCGAATAAATAAATATAAAAGTTTGCACTTACTCCTATTTACTTTACCAGACGATACTGTCACTTCGTGCACGCTCAGTTTCGCAATTTTGTAAGCAGACGATATTTTTTTTCGTGGAAATAAATTTTTATTTCTATTGTTATCTCACATTTTACTTCTTGTTAAGAGAGTATTTAAATTAAAAATGTTTTCACATATACATGCTATTATTCAGTTTTTAACAAATGATATGACTATTTTTCTATGTAAAAAATAAATATTCCTTCTAAGCAGCAAACACAACATTTCATAGTTGTATTTGCTGCTAATAGAGTATTAGTAATATATCCAAAATCATAGTATATATTAATATTTTTCTTCAAGATGAATAATGACAATTGTTTGTCATGAAGAATACTTATTTTTAAATGATAGATATAAGAAATGTCAAATTCATTGATTATTTAATCATAATAATTGAGGATTTGTTATAAAATGTATAAATTTCAAATACGCAATAAACCAAATAGTCTTGATGCAGAAATATGTAAGACTTTAAACAATTATGTTATATACATGTGCATTTTTATTTCTTTATTTTTTAACTATTTAATTAATTATCATTAATTATCTAATTACCTTTTGATATTTATTTAATAAAGTTAACTGTTCAAGTGTTTGGAATAGTATTGATTACATTTTTTAGGCTAAACCAGTGTTTCTTAACCTCTAACGAATCGTCACCCCCTTCAATAAAACTGTTACATAGTATCGCCCCCTTCACTACAAAATTCCGATGCAGAGGGACAAGGCTAACGCCAAATTCGTACTGCATTGAATAGACTAGTGACTAGTATAATGTTATTTGTTTAATTATTGTACGATATAACAAATAAAATATCTAATTATTCTTAATATAATGTTTTACTATATCGCCCAGAAAATTGTTTTTCGCCCCCAAAATATAAATTGTTACTAATCACCCACTCAACATGGAAAAACGCTCACATGGGGGAGATATTGCCCCGTTGAGAAACACTGGGCTAAACTTTTCTATATGGCATCATTTAGTTTTTTTGGATAAGGAATTATTTTTGATAATTCCTATATGAAGTTTACAGTCTGAAATATCATTCCCTGCTGAGTTAAATCAACTCACTTTAATAGAGGGTGAAAGTTGAAAGAGCACAAATGTTTTTGTCCAGTTAATGGGCCATCTTCAGGTGAGGACAAATGAAGTGAAATATTCCGTTTCATCTGTTCAAACCTAAAGATAGCTCATTAACCAAGTTTAAAACATTAGCATTATTTCAACTTTCCCCACTGTTAAAATGTGCAATGATTAGCTCAGCATATTAATTACAATGGTTATTTCATCCTTATATTATTTCCTATTTACTTTAACAAGTATTTAAAATTCATTATTTAGAATACTACACATTTAAACACCTGAAATTTTTACAAAATTATATTCTTTTAATATCATAAACATCACAAAAAATATATAAAAATAACTTGAATTTTTTCAAACTGATTATTTCAAGTTTTGAAGTTTGTAAGTGATACCAGATTTTTCAAATTAGCATAGGATGATAACATGTTAAACAATTTTTCTTTATTTTCTCATTTCCAATAAATACAAAGTTATTTGTAACAAGTTATCATAGTAACAGTATTCTATAGTCTAAGCATTTCTGGTAATTGATTTAAGCTTGAAAGTACTAAAACTCATTTTCTGTTCTTTCTTTAATTTTAGACTCCATTATAATAAATTATTTTTTTACTTTTTTTACAGATGTGACTTTATATTTACATTTTACAGCATATTAGCTATTAATTATAAAATAAATCAGATAAAATTAAATCTATAACAAATGAAAAATTTGAAATTTATATAGTTAGATATTAAATATTATATTTGAATTATATGTTTTCTGTCTGAATATTATCAAACAGAAAGCTATTTAAAAAATATTTTTTTGTTGCATTATAAATATATTAGAAAATATTTTTATGGAATTAATACTTATATTATGAAAAGTATAGTAACAAATATTCAAACATTTAACTTTATACTTTTTACAATGTCAAGTATTGTAGAAATCAATCTTTTTGTTCAAATCAGATAATTTTCTGATTTGAATAAAAGATTATCTGCTGTTTATTATCTTACTTGACTCTTCACATTACTCAATCTTGTCATTAATGCCATAATTTTCACTTTTGTATTATATAATTATTTTGTAGTAATACCAAACATGCATTAATTTAGGCTTTTAAATAAATTATAAAAACTAAATTAATTCAGAATAGTAATGATAAACTTTTATAATCAGATAAAATCTTCAAATATAAATTGAAGGTTTGATTGATTATTATAATCTCTTTATATCATACTACAAAAATATCAGAGTTGTATTACTTTTCAATTAAAAGAAATGATAAAATTCTTTGTTTTTTTTTTCTAGTCCATTTCTACTCTCTTAAGGTGACTCATACATTCAGTGTTAACCAATTGCTGAACAATTGTCTTTTACCAAAATATTTGCTGAAGTTTTTGTCATAAGGCAAGCATTTATGTACAGTATACACATGTTTATTTGCCAAACATCTGTTCACTGTGGGAATTACAAATGTTTATCTGAAATTTGTTCTCTTTGATTTGGCAAAATATACTGACAAGGAATGGGAGACTATATGAATACTAAATATTTGTCAAACAAAGTCATGAGTAAATCATCCACACTACTTGGTATTGGCAAAATGTTTGCTCAGCAATCTGCAAATACCAAACTTGTGGAACCACCTTTAATCAATAGTCTCTAAATAAAAATGAAAGTACTCCACAGTTAATTTGAAGATCAGCTTGTTTTTATACTCTAACATATCAAATCAATTATTTTTACTCTTTTAATCTAATGTTTAATTGAAAGTTGAGAGTGGCCAAAAGATATATAGTTATCTGCATTTTCAGTCATTGCTTTGTTTCAATATTAACCTCTTAGAAATGCATGATTGAATTGAATTCATGCATTCATGAAAATAACTAATTGAAAATGATTTGTTTTCTAATTAGCTAACTAACTTCATCAATATATTTGATATGTTGACTTAATTATAATTAACAGTATATATGCAAAGACTATTGTTCAAACTTTGCTAAATAAATAGTTTTATTGAAAATTGTTTATTTTATTAATAAAGTTAACAGTAATTCAAATATAATATTTATTCCAAAAACAAATCCAAATTATAATTTTCTATTTTAAATAAGTATTCTGAAATTATATTATAATCTGATATACTTACAAGGGAGGGTTTTCTCATGTCAGTCTTACATTTTAATAAAATCTGGGCCAGTGCTAGGGTTTATGTCACCTGGGGAAAAACATGCATTGATGCCCCTTATTCCCCTACTTAAAAGAAAATAATTATTTTAAAATGACATACCTATTAGAAGTGAAAAGAAATTTTTGAATG